GTAATTCGCCCTTGTACAAAGATATTGTTATAAAATTGACGAGGCATTCATGTCCTCTGAAGTCAGCCGGGACAAACATAAAATAAAGGAGCGTATGCATGCATTCTATGTTGAGTGATTGTAAACATGCAGAATTATGTGATGATGCGAAACGATTTTGGCCTAAAGTGCACTAATTACAGGTATCTCAAAATTACAAATGAAGGACAACATAAAATGCATCTGTGGTAGGGCACCGGTTCAGCACCTTAAACCGAAAACAGCTCAACCATTAAAAAACGCTTTAAAACTGTTGCGAAGGTGGGAGCGAAAAAGGCGTGACGCATGATACCTTGAGGAGAGGTAAGTCGTTAGGTTGTGCGCCAGTACTATGTGCGAGGTCCGAGGAACGGACATTGGTGAAAGCCATCATCTCTTGTATGGCAACACGAAGTTTCAGCCGATGCAAGGGGTTACTTATGCCCAGCTCACGCTGCACCTCCTGATCCGAGAGCGAGGCTATCATTCCTCCGCAGGTAATGTTCGCCCGACACGCCGCCACGTACCACGCTGGCATGCCGACCCAATGCTAGATCACACAACAAAAGGTAATAGTGAGCCTTTTGCTAGTACAATGGAAGCCAACCTGATAAACTGCAAGAGATTAGTGACTTGTGCATTCAATTAAGGAATGTAAGCAATCAACTCGCCTGTCAATATCGAGTATGACCTTTCAACCAAAACCAATAGCATTATCATCATGTACTTTCCAAAATTTTGAGTACTTTTCCATTAAAATCTTTTAGCTTTACTTCCCTAATAACAATGCATTTTATAAGCAAACCATAACACCTAGCGCGCCTACTTTGGTTCCGATCCCTATCCTCCAATGCATTCGAACCAAACTTGCAAAAGACCTGCGCACGAAAGAAAGTTCACTCAGATCGCATCAATTTCCAAATTGTTTCACCGCTTCATGTGCTCTTCTTGACGAGGGATTGAATGCTTCATCGCATCTCAAGCTAACATCAAGGAGCACACTGAGTCAGCTATCTTCGAAAAATTGTTTAAGAGTAAAGTGAAGTT